CGCGCTCACAGGTAACCCCGGCGGGGGGGCTCCGGGGGGTGGCAGAGTGCCCAGCACGGGGACAATGGCCCTGAGAAGGCAGGACTGTGCCCTGGAAGGTGGCAGCGTTCCCCAGGAAGGTGACAATGTCCCTGGAAAGGCAGAACTGTCCCTAGGAAGTTGATGATGTCCCCAGGAAGGTGATGATAGCCCAGGCAAGGTGGTACAGGCCTGCATCCCCCTAAGGGTGGCCATGTACTCAGGAAGGTGGTGATGCCCCTGGCAAAGCAGAACTGTCCCCAGGACGGTGGTGATGAGCCCAGGGAGGTGAGGATGCATCGGGAAGCTGGCTATGTCCCCTGAGACGTGGCAGTGTCACCAGGAATGTGTCATCCCCAAGAGCTGTGCTGCTGTCCCTGCTGCTCTGCCCTCCCTGGCCCTGGGCTGTGTTGGTGCTGTGTCCCCCCAGGGTCCCTGCGCTGCTGGAGGGGGACAGCCAGGGGGACGTTTTGGGAGTGCCAGCTGGCACTGGGGACAATGGATGTGTGTCCCCTCTGTCCCCTGCATGCCCATCCTGCCTGTGAGGGGTCAGACAGCGTGAGTAGCAGCGAGGGGCTGGTCACAGTGTCCCCAGGGGCTGCCACCTGCCTTTGGGTGGCACAGGCATCGGCGTGGCTCTGCCCACACATTGCTGTGAGCCTGGCAGGGCACCCTGGCATGGATGCAGCCCTGACATCACACCCTGACAATGTCTCTGAGCTGGGCAGGAGTGGCAGAGGAGCTTTTTCGGTCTGAGGGGGTTGCTCTGCTCTCAGCAAAGAACACAGTGACACCGCCTGGCTGTGGCTGTGGTCACCCTGTCACTTCCCATGCGCAGCTTCACCCTGCGGGTGCCCTGGGAGAGGGGACAGTGTCACCTGCGCTCGGTGGGATGGAGCTTCCCGGGACCCGGGCAGTGTGTGGGGACAGCTGGGGTCACCACCCTGGCTCGGGTGAGCTCCGCAGAGCTGAGGGCGGCAGTGACACCCCTGGTGGTGGCACTAACAGGATGCCAGCCCCGGCGGGTGTCCCCATCACTGTGCCCTCCCGCAGGTCTGCTCCGTTTTGAGGTCCCCTCCCTCCACGTGTCGCCGGACGCCGCCCTGTGCCGGGACCCGCCCGAGGCAGCGCAGAGACTCTCGGGGACGAGCCTGACCCCGCGGCAGGAGGAGGAGGAGGAATCGGAGAGCACAGCCCTATGACAGTGTCCTTGTCCCCAAGCTCATCCGTGTGGCACCCAAGGGCCAGCACCGGCCGCCGGCACCGAGGGCCACGGGCCAGTTTTGGGCGGCGAAGCTCCCGGTTTGGGGACGGCCGCTGTTCTTTAGTTCATTTTTGTTCGCCTTATCCAGACTTTGCCTTTGAACCGGGTGCCTGCCCCCCCCGCCCCGCAGCACCCACGACCCCGCGGTGATGCCACCACGTCCTCCGTGCTCCGAGCCGGGTGCCACTGGGTGCTGGCCAGGTGCCAAGGAGCTCACTGGCGCTTTGCAGTGGGATTTCCTTTCTTCGGCTTCTTCCCCCTCCGCTTGTTCGGGAGCAGGATGGGACCTGACCAGCAATAACCTGGGGATTCAGGATGTGCCCCCCCAGCTCTCGGGGTGCTGGTGGGGAGGAGCACGTCCCTCAGCACCTGCTGTCCCCGGGGGTTGGTGGCTTTGGTCGTGCATGCACAGACAAATTAACCTTTTATCCTTTCCAGAGAGAGAAGATCTATATATATATATATATCGGCAGAGATATATATATATTCTATATTTGTATAGAGAGAGAGAAATTATAGAGAGATTTGTTTTATTTGGAGCCATTCCCGCCCGGCTGGGGAGAGAGGGAGGATGGAAATGGCAGTGCTTCGCCCCCGCCCTGCTCGCGCCGTGCCCCCCGCCCCAGGTGGGCACCGGGGGGCACCAGCACCCCAAAGCAATCAATAAATCCAATAAATCCGTGTGCCACTAGCTGAGAACTGCCCGGCAGCGCCAGCCTTTGCTTCCTGCCCCAGCCCTGGGGGTAGGATTTGGAGGTGGAGAGGATTTGGGTGATAAAGCGGTGGTTCGGTGTTTTATAGGGAATGTTATGGGTCTGGTGCCATGGGATGGGGCAGGGGCAGGACTGAGGGGTCACCACCCTCTCCCAGCTGCAGCTGTGGGGTACAGAGCAGTGGGGAGGTCCTGTCCTTGTCACTGCCAGCATCCATGGGTGCCCCAGGGAAACTGCTACAGCCAGGGTGTCGAGTGGCTGGGTGACAAGGAGTGGCAATCCCACATGTCCCCTGCCACAAAGCAGGGCCATAGCCACAGCAGCAGCGGTGGCACAGCAGGGGCCTTGGACTGGAGCAGACTGCAGCAAAGGTCAGACTCCTCCACCTTCCTCCTCTACTTCCACCCAAGCCTGTTTCCATCTCCACTGCTTCTATCTCTGCCCTGCCCCTCCATCCTACCTCATCCACCCTGACCTCCTCCACTTCCACCCCAATCCCACCTCTTCCACACACATCTGTTTCCACCCTGATCCCACTCCCTTGTCTACCAGCCCCCAAACTCCTCCCCTTTGTCCATCTCCTCCATCTCCCCCCTGACCCCACCACCTCCACCTCCATCCCTCACTGTGGCTGCACCAACTTTCCCCACACATCCTGCTCATGTCTGGGTGGGCTCAGCTCCAGGATTCTGACACTTCTGGTGCTGCTACCCTGCTCCCAGACCTCCCCCAGGCACAGCTGCCCCACACGGCAGGATCCAGCCAGGACTGACCCCTGACCCTGGGCTGATCCCCACTGCAGGACCACCCCCAAGACACACAGAGCCCTTTTCTCCACAGACACGTCCCCAAGGATGGACACTGGGCTTGTTTCACGTGTCTTTAATAGAAACCGCCGGCGGTGGGGTAGAGCCCCGTACAAAAGCTGGCTGCAGGAATCGGGGATTGCATAGACCAAGGTGTGGGGGACCCCCCGCCCCCAAATAGTCGCCTTTTAGAAAACAAAAAGCGTCTCTGAATAAAACTCTCCTGGTACAATAAATACTCTGGTGCTGCAGAGCTGGGGACCCTGCACCCACCCACCCTGTTTGGGATGGCCCCGCGTTGGGAGACCCCTGGGTTCAGAGCCACCACTTGGGAATGAGCCCAGTTTGGGATGAGCCCAGGTCTGAAACCCCCAGCTAGGGATGGTCCTGGTTTGGAACAGTTCTGGATCAGGGTCTGGCATGCCCTGGGTCAGGCAGGAGCCCCCCATGTCAGGATTCCATTTGGGAGCGTCTGGGTCAGGAAACCCTGGTTTGGATTTCCCCCAGCTCAGAAATCCCTGGGTTGGCAGCCCCCAGATCAGGATGTTCCTGCTTTGAGATCCCTGGTTCAGGCACGCTTGCGGTGGGACACCCCCAGATGCGTTCAGGACTTGCTGTACAGCTCCTGGGGGGTGATGCCCCCCATGCATGGCTCAGAAGCTGGACTCAGGCACGGCCGGGGAGCGCAGGGGCCCCGTGGGCTGCCGGCCCCGCTGCAGGGTGGCCCC